CTGGAGCAATGATCCCGCTAGATTACCACAAACTAGCGGGTATATCCTATGATGTAGATAAAGAACCTGAAAATTCTGTCATTGCCACTTCTCAACCCTCCAATATAGACCAAAGCGAGCAAGAAAGTGCTCATATGACAGTAAAAGAGGAAGAGCTCTCGCGGCAGCTGGAAGAGCAACAATCAACCATTCGTCAATAGCAGGAGTCTATCAGATGCCTGGAAGCAATGGTGGAAAGACTCTGTGAGGAGAAAGAAAAGAAGAAGAAGAAGGTTCATTCCCAAGCCTCAGGATCTAGGCGAAGACAACCTTCACCCATCGATGAAGACCAAAATGGCAATGATGAAGACGATGAGGAAAGAATTGTGAAGATTCATTCCGAATTGTCCGAAGCAGAATCTAATCCTCGTACGAAAGAACGAGATCAGAAGTGGGAAGATTTCCAGAAGCAGCTTGATTCAAGGAAATTTCAAAGAGTTGGGGGTGTCAAGACCATATACAAGTGAATGGGATGTGATCCCATATCCTTCGAAATTCAAACCGCTCAACTTAGTACAATTTGATGGCAATGGTTCTCCTATCCAATACATTTATTACTTCCAAGCGCAGACTGGTCATATAGTGGGTAATGATCCTATTATGACTCGATTATTCATTAGCACTCTGAAAGGGGTAGCTTTTGAGTGGTTTCGCAGACTTGAGCCAGGGTCAATCCAGAGTTGGAGAGATTTGGAGAGGTTTATCTTAGCCCGATTATTCGACGATGACACCGAAGTGTCTATGGCTATACTATTATCTGAGAAGCAAAAGAAGACATAATCAGTCAGTGGCTTCGTCAAGAGATTCAGAAATCTATTGTTGCATTCATGTGATCAAGTTTCTGAAGCTACTCTCATGGAGATGTGCCGCAACAATCTTTCTATCAATATCTTGTCCAAGATGAGCGCTGTTGAACCCCGTTCATGGAAAGATTTGGTTTGGCAAGGAGAGCAGGTGGAAAACATGCTCAAGAGGATAAGTGCTGAAGAACCTCAAGAATCCCAGCTTAAAAGGGGAGGTGGTAAAGGCAATTATAATTCTCAGAAACAATCGAAAGGGAAAGACACCTTAGCTGTTGAGACAGCTCCATCCCCGAAATCCTCTATCAAACAGAAGGAAAATACTTCCGACAATCATTTTCAGAAGAAATACGATTTCAAGGATGAACATGTGGTTTCCATTCTTACATCTTTGATCAAGATGAATAAGATCAAGCTGTCAGAAGTAAAATGGAATGCAGAAGTGTCAAGGACCGATGATCCTAACTTTTGCATGTACCACAGGATGGTGCATCATCCAACCAAAGCTTGTTACATCCTGAAAGTCAAGATTCAAGCTTTGTTAGACGGAGGCATGATGACCTTTCAAGCTGAGCAAAAGAAGGTATCTACGAATATGGTCTCGCTTCAGTTTGGAGATTTCACCGAGGTGCAAGTACAAGACGGCGTGAAACCAATTCCTCAAGCAGAGGCGAGAGTGGTGAACTTCGACCCACATCAGAAGAAAGAAAAATGAATGGTCCCTTACACTACCCCTAAAGGTGAATTGATGTGGGTTTATCCTGACTTACTAATGGACGAACAATGGATATTGGTAAACTCAAAGAAGCCTAGAGCCACACGAAGATCCTACAATGCTGTGTCGGCCATCCCAGATAAGGGGGTTAAAACTGCGTCACATAGCAGTTCTGAAAATGAGTAGCCAACCTTCGCTGCACAACCTGCACAGATATCAGGAACATGCGGGGGGAAAGGAGTATTTGAAAAAATATTCTGAAATAGCAGCTGCACCACCCAAATCAGGGAAAGAAGTAACAGCACAAACTCAAGCTAAGGAACTTCGTTACAGCAAAGCACTCGGGAAAGATGCACCGGAGAGTTCAAAAGATTCTTTTTGGTTTGATGTGCTAGCTCAGTTAGCCAACATCCCGATGAGGATTACACTGTTTGAGCTTCTGCGTTTATCTCGATTGACGAGAGAAGCTCTTCGTGAAGCATTAGCAGATAATGAAGCTTTCTTCACTCACTTTCCACCAAATCTAGCCGGAGCAACGCTGGAAGAAGCTTGTCATCAATGTTGTCAAATTTTTCGAAGAAGAATGCCATGCATCACCTTTTCTCAAGAGGACATGCACGTGAGAAACCCAAAACATGATAGACTGTTGTACTTCATAGGGTACATCGGCTCCATTCGGGTAGATAGAATTCAGGTTGATCCTGCTTCTGCTTTGAGCATCATACCACTAAGGCTTATTCATCACCTTGGAGTTCCTCTGCATCATTTATCAACAATGAGAACCACCATATATGGCTTTAATGCCTCTAATACTCGTCCCCTTGGCAAAATCAAACTCAAATGCCAGATGGGTGACTTGAAGATGGACTTTACTTGCTATGTTATTGATGCAGAGATGTCTTACAATTTGTTATTGGGTCGACCATAGATCCATAACAATCTAATTGTTCCATCAACTCTACACCAATGCATGAAATATGTAGGTGAGAGTGGTGAAGTCAAAACAGTGGTCGCAGAGAAGCAACCATTCAAGGAGGTGGAGAATTATTTTACTAATTCTATCCATTACCTTGATGGTGAGCTATTTGAAGTACCACTGATCGAAGAACCAGATAGTGGTAATGAAGCTGATATCGAGTCTGAGCACGAACATAGTCTTGTTTTTAATGACATAGAACCCGTCGTAATCGGTCTTGAGAATCTGGATGTAAATGAACCCGTCTATGAGGCTACCGGAGTTATTTTTAATAATAATGATGATTTAGCTTACTTATCGCGTGATAAATTGAATCCTAACATGCCAGGTACAAGCTCCAGTGTGGTGACGAGTCCACTATTCAAGTTATATGCTGAATCAAATTTATACATGCTAATTCATTAGTCATTTGTGACAAATCGACAACAAATCAAATCTTCGCAAGCAGTCTTCATAGTACCAGCTAAGGTTAACGGCCAAAAAGACATCATCTTTGGAAAGAGTA